GGGGGTGGGGGGGGGGTTTCTCACAATTTATTTTCCCAATTAACACATACTTACGAACAAATCTTGTCGGAAACACAACAAATGAAGACAATAATCAGCCACTCCATGGGCTGTTTGGTGTTGCGTTTCACCATCTTTAATCTATTTTTTTCTTTTAGCATCACAAAAGCAATATAACAAAAATATCCACCAGGGGGTGCTCTAGTGGGGTTTTCAAAACCTTGCTGGTCCAGCTTAACTAAACAAAAGGCAGCACAATTATGTTTAAGGGTGTTTAAAGTTCTAATTTCGAAATTGGTACAAATATACTTTTAGTATACTTCAGATATATTTTATATTGTACACTTAATACTTAGTTTACTTAAAATGTACTTTCACAAATGTAAGTATGTTTGAAATATACTTAAAGTATACTGTTTTTCACCTGGGGCGAACCTCGATATAGCCAAACTGGCATTGTTTTTATGCCGTATTAGATTCGTCGTGTTGATGCATTTTTACGTGCTTCAGCCCCGACACCGAGGTAATTTTCCACCACAACACGCAAACTTCCCCATTCACTCAGTACGTTGTAGTTCCACACGACATCGCTTAGGATTTGTTGCTGGGCGCGGGCGGGGGGGAGGGAGCGTTTCTCGATTGATTTTTACCCAGAAAGCACATGGGGAAAAAAACCATGAATGAAACGGTCACTGGGACTGACTAGTATATATTCCATTGAGGGAATTTATCTATAACATATAAATTTCTCATATGTTAACATAAAGGCTCGTTTTGAAGTATACGCTGCTACTTACAGGCATTGCTTCCTGGAATGCGGCGTTCATAACAGACACGTGTGTTCATCTGCTCTACCGCTAGCAAACAACCGTACTGATTAAATAACATAAAAGTCAAGCAGTTCCCTAAAAGTCCAACAGATGGCAGCAATGCAAAACAAAACACCACAGTTTACAGGACACACTTCCTGCTAAAGAGCCCCCTGGTGGTTGAAGAAAAATCCACATATAAACCGGAAAATACAATAAATGAAGAACAAATCTAGATGCTCTCTGGTATTGTTCAGGGGGCCGGACCAAATGTGGAGGCGGGCCGGATTCGGCCCGCGGGCCGTAGTTTGGGGACTCCTGCTTTTTAGAGTGACCGTTAACAGATCAGTGTTGGAGAACCCAGACTGCTAGGCGTCATAGTCTGGATTAATATATAAATCATTCATCTTCAGTCCAAGCTATAAAATATTGAGATAATGAAATATTGAAGCTCTTAATGTGAATGTTATGTGGAGTAATTGTGATAAACCATTATCACAAACAAAGATGTACATAACATTTTCTTAAATTTTTACAAAAAACAAGATTAATTTGTTATTTTCTCAAAAAATGATAAGATCATTATTATGACAAATTTATTTTAATATTACAAATAAATTAGGCTGTTATCTTAGTCAATAAACATTGAGATCTCATTACCTTCAGATAATGAGATAATAAAGCTGTTTTCTAAACAAAACGATCTTTCTAGCTTGTTATTTTAAGATATTGACATAAATGGAGCTGTTATTGTGTAAAGAACAAATTTGATTTCTCACTATGTTGAGATAATAAATACAACTATTTTCATGGCAAATATTAAGTTAACTTTTTATTAACTGATCTTGCTAAGTTATTTTTGGGCATTTACATAATATATTGTTTTATTAAGTTACATCATAACAGTCCTTAAAAGGTCCTAAAATGTCCATGATTTAATCATCTTCATACTGCCGATATATAAATGTATTTTTTGACTTTTCGTACTTACAAGGTCATCAGTTCAGTCTGTTTTGTTGGAAGTTTTTACAATTTTGAGTTAAATTTTGGCTCTTTTTCTTGATGTGCTGCAAAGTGAATTTAGACACACATTTTGGATAAACACTCCAATCAAACGCTCTATTTGTCCCACAGAGCAACACGGAGAACCTAATTACTCTTAGCCCTTCGGGCTACAGGATCTTACTGAGTTATCTCTCCTTGTAAAACATCTGAAGCACACATTCAGACCGTTCAGCTGTGAAGCCAAATGTCTTTGAGTTTTCCTGCAGCTGCAGGTAACGAGTGTTTTTGCATCACTTTGAAACCAGCGGCATCTTACAGATGTGTAGCAAAGAGGCAGTGCTTCGCCCCGGCGTCTCTCTATCGGCCGTTTGGGGAGCAAGCAGCAGGAGTAAGGAGCCTCTCCCAGTTTCAGGCCCTGCAGGATGGGGAGAAGGAACTGGTCGGCCTCCAGGAACTGGGACTCACTGACGCTGAGATCCAGCTGTGGCAGAACAGAGATGCACCAGACATGTCAGGAGACAAGGTTGCCTCTCAGAAATTTCAAAAACTTTTAGGTAACTTTCAGACACCAAAACAGCTGAACCTCGTCATGTCTCACAGTCCAGCGGTGTGTGTGCGGCTCCGGACGCGAGGCGGCAGCGTCTGCAAGCCATCAGGGACAAGATCGAAGCCAGAGCGGAGCTGCTGTCCCGACCGCAGCGCTTCTCCGCCAGCCGACCGCTCTCACGCCGGGAGATGGAGATCGAACAAGCACTGTTCCAGGGGACCGACCGGCTGGGTTTCCTCACAGCTCTCTACCACCGAGGTAATGTTCAGCAATATGAATCAAATAAATCAATTAATCGCAAGATAAACTGAAATAAGTGCAATCATTTTCATTTCAAAGAGATGCTCCCCTGTAATATAGTTGGAAACCGCCATTTTAAGAAACCCTGCAAATAATTGGCAACGGCAAGATAAAGATTTCCAGTAGCAGATATCTGATCAGCATCTTCAGCCTGCTCACCGAATGTGCCCTCCTGAAAATGCCCATCTAGCTGTGACACTGAGCAGCTAGATGGGCTGCTCAGTGTCAGTGAACTAACTAGTGAACTAGTTAGTTCACTAGTTCATACTAGTGAACTAACCACTTCACTAGTATGAAGTGGTTAGTTTGCACTACCTGCCACTTTGGCCTGTTTTCTCTGTCTAAGCTGAATGATTATAATTTTTTGATTTGCAGTTTTGGTTAGAGAGACTTCATAATCCATTTTTATTGTTGTTGTTTTGGTTGATTGTTGGTAGGCCAGTCACAGTAAGCAATAAATCAATTAATCACATTAGAAATGAAAGCAAGCTTAATCATTTCCTTTGGCATGATTTATCATTTTTCTTGTGTCTCTCTCTTTCCATCAATAACTGGATGACAAAATTCTTCAGTCTGGTGCTTTTGTTCTCAACCAGCCCTTTTTTTGAAGGGCAGTTTTGTTTACAGAGACTTAATTCATTTTGTGTTTCTGTTGTTTTCTTTATTTACTTTGGATGTTTAAAATGTCTTCTAGTTCCAGTGACAAATGTTCATTACAATTTAAAGTTTGCTAATATTTTAGAATGTGTTCATGCATTAATATGTCATTACCATTACAGTACTAAATGGTCTCAAAAAACAATGTTATTGTTGATCAACAATAACTTCTGGGAATTTATTGTCCAACAAAATTTGTTATCGTGACAGATCTCTTTATTTATTTTGGATATTTAAAATGTAAGTATTCTTTATAAATTAAAGTTTTTTTCTTTATTGTTTATTTTAAAATTTGTCATTGTGACAGGCCTAAGCAAAGGTCAACCGAGCCGTCAGAGAAGAGAGGTGAAATTACTGTAGATTTCACAGAAGAACTTTTGTCCCAAACCAAGCTCAAACAATGTCGAATTCTTGATTTTCTGCTTTAAAATGATGTTTCTGAAAAGGTGGAATTATGTTTTCTCCCTTCCAGGCTTTAAATTACACCCTTCACACGTCTTCAGTGCATTTATAGAAGTCACATGTAGAGATTTTCTTTGTCTAACTTCCTGCTGGGAACTGCTCTTTGTCTCCCTGTCAATTCGCTTCATTCTTCGGCTTTTTCAGTTATCCTGCACATCTGGTTATCCTAAAACAGACTCTATAATGTTTTAGATACAAGTTAAGTAAAGAATAAAAAGAAAACTAGATATGTTCTTTTTTTAAATTAACACAACTAACATCGGGGTGTTGTATTAGGATGTTAAGTGATAGGCCAACGACAAGTAACGGGGGAGTATAAATGGTCCTAATTATTACTTTTTTTAAAAACTGAAACAATGAGGTTTGCATTTGTATTTGGTCTCATTGAGTAAAGACAGTTGAAATATCACTTAGATGTCACAGTAACGAGAAAATAGAGTAAATAAATCAGAGATTTATTTACTAATGCCTTAAAAATCAGAAGTTTACATAGAGAATTGATTAATGTCTCTTTAAGCAATGAGGTAAAGGTCTGATGATGATGTCATGGCTTTGGAAACCTATAACGGTTCTGACTGGAGGAATGGGCCAGAACTCCAGAAAACTATGGTGAGAAGCATGAGAGAAACCCAAAACATTTGACCCAATCATACAGTTCAAACACAACGCTACCAAATACTGAGGAAACATACGTAAACTTCTGATTTCGAAGATGTTAATAAATTCAACATATTATTTTGCTCATTAATGTGGCATTTAGCAACTAGAACTTTGGTTACAAGAAAAAATGGAGAAAATTGTATGTGTATGAATCATAGACTTTTGAAAATGTTGTCTCATGCTTTGTAACTTTTTCTACCTTTATAATGGAATGTGAATTTCCACACATATTTCCATTGTTCTGCTTGATAAATGGAAAGCAGTCAATAAAGACTGAATTGATTAAAAAAAACAAAAGCAAAGTCATTTTGGTAATTCTAACCTAAAGCAAGAGAAGTTTGGTCTGATTTGACTTCAGACAGAGAGGACAATTAATCCATCTTCCAATCCACTCTGACCCCAGTACCTCAGGTGGAAAACGTCTTAATAGCATAATGCTGCCACCACCGTGCTTTTCCACAGAGATGGTTGTTCAGGGTAATGTCCATTGTTAGTTTCCCTCAGCCAAAAAAATATTATTTTGAAGAATGTCTTGGCTTCTTCTGAAGGATTTTGATTGTACAGGAGTTTATTTTGGAATATTCTGTATTATCCAGTAGTTTGTGGTTGTAACGTGACAGAATTGCCTTTGATGTGTGTTGCTTCCAACCTAGATGGTGACACAGAGGAGAGCCAGCAGGGGGCATCATCCTCTGACCCAATGGACTCACTCTACAGAGATGTTCTGAGGTGTCAGAAACACATTTCACCAGAGGACTCTGAGGGACAACAAGCAGTGGGATCAGCATCTGGCCAATCTGACCAATCACAAAGCTCTCAGAGCCTTTCACCTCGCCACGGGTCAGATCTGCAGAGCAAAGACACATCAGAGCATCAGCAGGACGGAGCAGAAACAAACCCACCAGCTCCTCCTGAACGGATAGATCTCAACCAGCAAATTGGCAGACTCAGCGGAGCATCGGCAGCGAAGTCAGAAAAACTGCTAACAGTCAGCGGGGAGGTCAAGACGCTTCCAGAGGAAGAAATCCTGAACAACCGTGAATCTGACGAGGGGATCCGGAGCATGGCACGGTTCCAAAACTACCAGCCGGGAAAACCTTCCAAGGCACTTTAACCCTCGTCTTATATGAAATGCTTAGAGGAACTTCCTGAATTACATGCTCATCAGCTCCTGTAACCCTGCATGTTTTTTCTCACTGTAGGTTCTGTGTGTGAAGAACCTGAGTGTGCAGGCGTCCATCGCACAGCTGGTGGCGCTGTTCTCTAGATTTGAGCAGAAGGACGGGCCTCCAGTTGTGTATCGGCTGCTGACAGGAAGGATGAAGGGCCAGGCCTTCATCACGCTGCCAGGTGAGAAACGGTTTTACTTCCACCGAGGTGGGATCGATGGAGTGTTCACATGTTGAACACTGAAGTACCAAAGTCCACTTAAAACCTGATGAAGTAGAGTTTGTGACCAAATCTTAAGCGATTTCAGAGTTCATGTCTCATAAACTAACTGAGCCAAAACAGGAAGTGAGGAAAACAAAAATCTTTCATCTTTTTTCACAGAATTTAAATCGTAGTACACTTCATGTAATAGAACAGGGTCCTGCAGAAGATAGTAAGAGGAGCTGACTGGAAGTAAATCAAATGTGGTTCAGGGGTGTGCAAACTTATGCAATCCAGGTGACTGATTTTAGTTTTTGCATTTCCCCCTAAAAAATTTGTTAGCCTAAGAAGATAAACTCAGTTTCAGGTAGCTTGTAAAGGAAATGTCTCTTATTTAGGTTAAAATACCAGCAGCTGTGATTCTGGCAACCGCAGAATTTTACAGTGCAAATATGGATTCTACTATGTTTGTTTTATAAAATTCTGCCAACCACAGTTGACGTTTTTTTTTTTTCAGTGTATCTAGAAGTTAAAAAAGTGGGACCAAGAACCCAGCTTTGTGGAACCCCGCAGAATGCAAAATCTGATGATGCATTTAAAAATCTTTTAACGACTAAAGACTTGTTTTAATTTTGATGTTGCTTATTTTTTCCTGAAGTAATTATTGGACATTTCCTCAATGGATGTTTTCCTTTGACACCAGAAATTTAGCAATACTTTATTTGAAATTATTGATTTTGATGTTGCTTGTATCAATGTGGATTGACAACTCCCAACAAATCATGTCATTTGTTCAATAGCAGCTCTATTATTAGGTTTTGGTACAGATTATCAGAACCAGGCAGAAAAGAAGAACCAGAATAAAGAGAAGAAACAGGTTGGAAACGTCACTAGATTCAAATATCAGGCTTCAGTATCTTAATCTTAGCATGTTATACATTCCAAATATATACTACTCAAAAAAATAAAGGGAACATTTCACTTTAATTTTGTGTGTGGCTCCAAATCCAGGCCTCCATTGGTTAATAAATTTGATTTCCATTGATGATTTTTGTGTGATTTTGTTGTCAGCACATTCAACTTTGTACAGAACAAAGTATTCAATGAGAATATTTCATTCATTCAGATCTAGGATGTGTTATTTGTGTTTTCCCTTTATTTTTTTGAGCAGGGTATAATAAACTAACAATACTAGTGACTAGTGATACTTTTCTGTTTTTGTAGTAAATGAATAACCCTGTTCATATTCTTGTATGGATGTTTCCTTGTGTGTTTATTTTTCTGTGCCAGATACTGAAACAGCCCAAAATGCGCTGCGGTTGGTCCATGGATACCGGTTGCTTGGGAAACCTTTGGTTGTTGAGTTTGGCCGTGAGCGACAGGAAGAGGAGAAACGGATGGAGCAGGAAGGAGAGAAGGAGATGAAAATAAAAGAGCAAAGAAAAACAACAGAAATCCATCGGACTTGTAAATAACAGCCTGTAAAACTGCACAACATGATATTTATGTCTCCCTGGGAAAAACAGAGTGGTGTGTGTTGTATTAATAAATCTTTGTTTTTTTTACCCATTGCCTCTTTTTATTTTTGCAGCATTTTCTTTGCTATAATGTTTAGAGAATTATTGTATTGTCTTATGTAAATGTGACTAATACAAATAAGCTGCTGAAATCATTAACTAGTGCAGAAGAGTTGATTTCTGATTTATTCCATATAAATTTTATTCAAACAATTGTAGAAGATATTTTGTTTCCTAATGTCTCTTTTATTTTAGTCATTCCATTTATATATTTGCATGTATATTTTTCAGTGTTTTTAGTAACTTTGTTATAGGACATAAAATATTTTCAAACCCAAGAGAGTTTTTAAGACCTTCTTGACCTCTGGGTCTTGCATAAAACAAACATTTTACGCAGTTAACTTAAAAAAATATTACAATTCAGCAGTTTATTGATGTTGATGCTCTTATTATAAGTGGTTTAAAAACTCATCAAAACTTCTCAGATTTATAATTCTCATTTGCAGCTCTGCAAATATGTGACAAATGTGTGCTCACAAGTCTCTGTGAAGTGTTTTCAGGTCAAGTTTATCTTTCCCACAGTTGCACATGAACATAGTCCACTGATGTTCTCTCTGTTAGTTTCTGCTGAGTGGGAGGGGGTCCAGGGGGCCTGGCTGCATTCAGGGCTCAGAATCAGGCTCGTTCATTCCTCCCATTGAACAAATTGTCCTTTGAGAATAAATTGAATCCTTGTGTAATGAAAGGTTTGCAGACTGGAGTTTAAGAAATGTCTTGTCTAAATGTTTACAAATTTTCCTTGAAAAGAAATTAAGCAACTTAGCCAGTTTTCTCTAAATGAAGTAGAGTCTACACCACAAATTATCACCTAAAGTGTCAGAAAATAATTTGTAATTTTTAAGAACAGCCTTTAAAACTAAATTTTTGAAACATTGTGGCTAAATTGAATTTGTGACCTGTTTGGCGAACTCAAACTACTCATTGATTGGAGTGAAGCGCGTCCTTTGTTTGTCTAAGTCTGTTTGTGCCTGTGTGCCGTTTGCCTTCAGTTCAGGGTTGTGATCTTTTTCTCATTCCGCTCAAAAGAAAACATCAGTCGAAACTCACCTACTGCATCGCAAACACAAAAAACCCGCCAACAAAAAGTCCATGTTCAAACAAGATCTTCACACCAACCGCTCAAGAAACAATTTTCAGCTAAAACATGTCTGTAAATTTCTCTTTTTTTATGTATAAAAACAAAAAATGTTTAATTAAATTATCTTCCTTCTGAAGGAACTAAAATCCCTATGTTTGAGTCTGATGATTAATCACTGAACTGAGATTTCTCTGCGTCTTGTACAATTAAAACTTAATCGATTTCCATATTATTTATTTGTATTCCCAATAAAATTTGGAATACAATTCCAAATTTTATTTAGGAATTGTATGTTTGAATGTAATAATTTAATTTTGTTTTAAAATTAAATTACAAATAAGGTTGTAATTGCAACCTTATTTGCAATTACAAATAAGGTTGTGGGTGTTCTGTGGGGAATTTTTTGCTGTTTTGGGAGATTTGCATGTTTATTATGGTATGCAACCATTTCCACAAAACACCTAAAAATAAATATTTTTCATTGCTGCAGCGTAATGTGGCTCGCCCCAGATTTTTCTAGATTTTGATTTTCAGTTCTGCCTCTGCTTTCATCTTTCAAAACTTTCTCTAGCTGAACAGAAGAAAAACTGAAGTCATTATCTTTGGACTTAAAGAGGAATGATCAGGAGTTGGTACGCAGCTTCAGTTATTACAGCTGGGAACTAGTGATGAACCTGAACCTTCGAACCTTCGGAGACACATGAAGATAGTTACAAAGTTGGCCTTTTATTTGATAAAGCACTTTGATGTGATATAAAAATAATCTTGACATAGTATTTTGTCTGGATATGGGCTTGTTGGCAATTCCTCTAATTGGCTTCCACTTTTACACTTTTTTCTGCACACAGGCTGCAAGAACCTTCCTTTTGAAGGCCTCAGCTCTGTGTTAGGTAAGTTGTAAGTTATAGTACCTGCAGCTGTGGCTGTATGCGCAAAGCAAAATATGAGAGAAAAAAATAAAGCTAGAATGTAAGAAGGATGTTGAATGCAATTTACTTTTATTTGTGAAATAAAAAAGGCATGAATATTTTTGTTGTGTGTAAATTTGGCAAAGTGAATATAGTGAAAAGAGGAAAATGTAATTTACATATTTACATATTCCCAAAAACATTATACTGATACTTAAAAAAACAAGCACTTTTACACATTTTCTTTTCTATTTAGGCCCACTAATGTTTTGACAATTTCATTGGTTTCATATCAAAATGACTCCTAACTGATAGAGGACTAAAGGAAAGATTTTAAGGAGTTGAGATTAGTTGAGGTACTGAAACCCAATAAAAATCATAATTACAGCAAACATAAAATACTCATCAGCATTCATTTGGTGGTTGTTTGGTATCAGCATCCACAAACTGGACCCAAACTTTTCGCTTTTAACTTGTTCTTGTGACGAATTTATATATTTATGTGATATATTTTATTTTGACTTACTTTACTTCTTAAACTGCTCTAACTAGAATTTTTTGAAAAGCAGGGCAAGATAAGACTATAACTTTAATCTATTACCAAGAAATGTGCAGACAATGTTCAAGCTTCGTGAGGGAGGACATGACTTGAGGCGCAGCTTAAATTTAAAAGTATTACCAGCATATACAAGGTGTAGCTGAAGCAGTGTGATGGCTTAAAACTGTTAAAATTATACATGGATGCTTCTTGTTTAGAATGAGGACAAGAACTGAATGTTAAATAGAATTATTGTATTACTATACATTTTTATTTAATTTGTAATGTAATTCATTAGTTGTTTATTAACTGGCATTAAGTAGATGAAAGATGTTTAAAGACAAAGTGGGTGGGATTATTTAAGTATTTACTTCTATCTACAACTTTTCCAACAAGAAACTGATGAATAAGGATAAACAGTTTATCATATTTATTATTTATTGTGAAAAGCTTCTTATGAGAATTTTTGATTTATCATTGTCTCGATGTCAATAAATTCAGCTACTGTGTTCAGGTATGTGATTTAAATCACAATTTCCATATTTCAAATGGAAATGTTTTTTTGTTTTGTTTTTAAGATCAATATTTGTCTTGAATTCTGTGCCATGCAGTTACCTAAAAAGATAGTAAGTGGGAATTTTATAGCATACATTTTAATGTTATCACAATAATACCACAAATTACTGAGATAAAATTCTAAGTCCTTATTTATTGTCCACCCCTACTGATGAATCACAGGCAGAGGGGAAGCATTGATCATTTATTAATCTGCTATTTATTTTTGCTGACTCTGCTTTGTTGTCTTTCCATCTGATTGCTTTGTTCTTGTAAAATGTCTGAAATAAACCTAAAAAAAAAAAAAAAACACCTTGGAGGTTTTGACATTAGGACATTTTCCCAATCATCCAGGAAATCCGACTTGAATCCAATTGAATTGGAAACAGAAGTTTTGTTCTACGGTGGCCCTGAAGTGCAAACCACTTCAACAAATCTACAAATTTAAAAACACAACAACGTTAACTAAACACAATTTTTAAAAAAAAATAAAAAAAAATAATAAAAAAAACACATTAACTCAGCACAATTACAAATTAGAAAACACAATGACTTTAACAAAACAGAAGCAGTAGGTCTGAGTGATTTGTTGATGTTTGAACTTCAGGGCCACTGTACTTTTCCTTTAAAGAAACCACTTTTATCACAATGAAAATAACTTCATGGATACAATGAAGGCAGCTTGAAAAGTCCACTAAAATGTTGCCTCCATATTCAATATTCAGTACCTTTACATAATCTGAAGTTGTGTTTGGTGTTTAGTTCACGGAGTGCTGGAACCATATCACACATATCCTGTGATGTCATATCCTGCTGCAGTGGGCTTCTTAGCTCCTGGGGCTCCTGGGGCTCCTGGGGCTCCCTGAGCGCTGGACTCTGAGGTACTAGTACTTCGGACCATTGTCTGCGTCCGGCTGGCTGTGTTGACGGCCCCCATTTGCAGGGTGGGGTGGCGGTAGGTCTGTGAAGTTGTCCGAGCGCCTGTGCCAGACATCCCAACTCCTACTGGTGGGTACGGATATCCTAACCCATGCCGCCTCCCCCGGCCGCCCTCCTCCTCCACCCAGCAGGAGACACTCAGCAGTCCACCACCCAGCATGGAGATGAGCGCGGAGGTCAGGCCGAGGTACAGGCACTCGCCGATCTCGTACTTCATGCCGGCCGGTATGTTTGGGCTGTAGAAGGTCTGGACGACCTCATGTGTGGTCCATGACACGGGTATCAGAGACAGGAAACCTGCAGCGAGAAACAAAACCCCACTAGCTCCAGCCACACGACTCTTAACCGTCCCCGCATTCTCCAAGCAAAGAGTGCACTGCATCCCTAGAGACGCCATGCCAATCGCAAGGACAGACAACACGATGGAGATGACCATGAGGGCGCGGGAAGCCTGGAGGTCGGCCGGCAGTGCCAGCATGGAGTTGTAGGTCTCACACTGGAAGGCCCCTGTGCTCTGATAGACACACTCCATCCACAGGCCCCTCATGTTTGCCACAACCGTGACGATGTTGGAGCCGATGTGAGCAGAAATTTGCCAGTAGGGCAGCACCGTGGCGACCAGGGTTCCCATCATGCCCAGGAGGCCCAAGAAGAAGCCCATCAGCTCCAGAGCTAGTGATGCCATGTCAACAGCAGCAGAGACGGAGATCTGACAGGAAGCACACAGAAGAAGTTCAAGTAGATGAAACCAAAACAAAATATGTCTCAATATGTTCTTAACTGGAACAAGTTGTAAGCTACAGGTCTGTGGATGCCAAAAACCACCAAGTGAACAATGATGAGTTCTTTATATTTGCTGTCATTAGGATTTTTAAGAGTTTTCTTTATGGTAGCTTTGATAGCATTGAGTTCTGTAAACTGATCTACTGAACTCTGCTTTAAGAAAACAGAGAAGTTGACAAAATGTCAGCGGGCCAATTTTTATTACAGAAATTGTGTTTAAGTGCTTATTTTTTGAGGATCTGTATAATGCCTTTGGTAATACGTGCATTGCAAATTACTTCTTTCTACTTTTCATTATTTCCACTTTGTTTGCCAAATATACACATAAGACAAAAATATTTATGTCTTTTTTCATTTAAAAATAAAGGTAAATTACATTCAACATCCTTCTTATGTTCTTGCTTTACTTTTTCCTCTGATATTTTGCTTTGTACATACAGTAACAGGTATAACTTACTGATGACGCTATAAAATAAGTAATTCCATCTTTTAGAAAGCAGTACCTAACAGAGCTGTTTGAGGCTTTCAAAAAAGATTATTGTGACTTTTGTGCAGATAAAAGTCTAAAAGTGGCTTAGCAACAAGGCATGTGAGTTACATCATAAAAACATCATACAGTCACCGATTATGAAAGCCAGCAATAAACATTATGTTTTATCAAATGTCACCATCAAAATCATCAATACACCAAATATAAAGATCAATATTCCAGTTAGTAATCAAAAGCAACTCTAAACATAATGTGGTTTAGCCTTGATTTAAAGGCTAAACAGTGTTTCGACTGTTTTGCAGTTTTCTAGAAGTTTGTCCAGATTTCTGGACTGTGTAAAAACTATTCTAGTAAAAAATATGAACATGTTTTCTTTATTTTAGTATAGAACTAATCAGGTCCTAAGCGCATTCATGACTTTGTTTTTGTTTTTATTTCATTGCACAATTGTCTTAGCGTACATGGCTAAGACAATATGTCTTATATGTCATCAGTAAATAGATGCAAACAGCTTGTGAATTACCGTTTCAGATTGCAAGGAAGTTGATATGCTGTTTACATTATGTAAACAGTCAAGCTGAAAATCATTTAAACCTCTGCCACATTTAGATTTATAATTGTTTTCATTCAGTGTAGAAGTTTGTCAAATAAAATATTCCAGTTTTATTTACATTTTAATAAAAAAAAATAGACATGTCAGAAATTATTTATAACTTTCATAAAAATAAAAATAAATCTTTATTGCCATACTCTAGTTAATTAGATTATGGCAATAATCTAATTAGCAATCCATTCATGACTAACATCAGAATAGAAATTAATACATTTTATAAAGAAGTAAATGATGTGTCAATAATTATTTCCATCCATTCATGTTTTCTCCCACCCACTAACTTAAATGCTTAAGGCAAATTTAAAGGGAAATTAATTAATGATGTCTTGCAGCACACAATTATTAAATAAAGTATATTCTCTTAGAAATGAACACATCTTTTCTAAAATAATAATATAGTTAATTTTATTTTTATTTATAGTTTTTCAATCATGGGTAATTTATGACACATTACATTTGTATTAAATATTTAAAGTATTCTAATACTGTGGCACTGTTAGACCTCCGTATTTTTAAATCTGTGACTGTTACTTTCTTTAGGGCAGATGATGTATGCAGAAGTCTAAACTTTTAGCCAAATAATCTTTTTTTCCCTTCTGAGCAGCATGCCGCTACACAGACTCATGAACGCCGATATGCTGACTTTCAAATCTTATTTCATGTCAACACTTTCAGAGTTCAAAGTCCTGTGTTTTATATATTGCTTTGTTCAGGAGTTAAAACACTGTTTTGCCTGAAAATACACCAATATGTTCCACACACATCCATTTTTCATGCATTACCTGATATTTCTGCAGGTTAGGGGAGAGCCAGACTCTGAATTTGTTGAAGATTTGATTATGGTCCTTTGCTGCAGGAGGTAAAGTTGCAGCTGAAGACGATGAGGAGGCAGAAGGAAAAGATGTAGCCTGCAGCCAGTGCAGATTGTGTCCACCACTGGTATTTCTATGTAACCTGCTGCTACTGCTACTCCAGTTGTGAAATATATTTTCTGCTTGCTGGATCAGACTCTGACTGCTTCCTCAGTCCTTAACATAGTGGCAGCTGTCATGTTGCAGATGAATGGCACAGCCTGGATCAGACTAATGGAGTCAGAAAAACGCTTTTGAGACTAACTCTGTTGAAGATTGTGTCCAAATCTCTGTATTTTTCAAATGATCTTCTTAAGAAAACAAAAAAGTGGGATAATAAATCTTCCACATTGTTCTGCTGCTGTCTCTCATCTCTGTGTTGGTCAGATGCTCTGGTGTCTTTATTTAAAATTTGGGTCAGTGTCCCTCATTTAGACCTTCACCTAATGTCATGTACACACACACTGAAACTGTTGAATCTGATAGCGACTTGCATTCCTGCTGGCAGCCGGTTTAATCATTTTCTCATTTGTCATCTCTCCAAAACAAATGTTTGTTACAATGTCAGCATTATTTTTGAACAAAAGCAAAAGCCTCAGCAACTTCCTGGTGGAAAAAAAATGACAATTATAGTTCATTGGTGATATTGATAATAACATGTTATATTTTAATTTTACCAGAAAAAAATATATACATATGCATGTGTTTTATGCAAAAACATCTGGGTAAATTCGAAATATGTTAGCAATATCAGCTAAATATTACAAGAAATGCTATTTTTTTTGGCTAGATTTTGCTCACTTGCAGCATGGCCAAACCTAAAAGTGCTATAGCTAGCTTGCCAGTTAGAGTAACTTATTGAAACAGGTGTCGTGATATAAAATCCTATGCTAACAATAACTCAATACACCATACAATAAAAACAAAAAACTTTTTTTTTACTTATTTTACTTCAGCAAATTTTTAGATGGGCAGTTAGCTCCAATTTTATTCTAATAATAATTTATTGATTTCCCAGTACAGCTGTTTTGTTAGGTTTAAAGGTGATAATAACATTCTTTGACTTTATTGGCGGCTAAAAAGAGCATAATAACAAACAAATAATGTCCTTATTAAAGGGTTTGTAAAAAACAAACATATGACTATTTAAGCCAGTTGTACAGTCATATTTTAAAAGTCATATCCTAAATTTTACTGTTTTTGTTAAATTTAGGAAAATTAATTAAATAACTGTACAACTGGCTTCATCTATTTTTAACAGAATATTAAAAAGAATTAACAAATATTAAATATTAATAAATCATTTTATCTCCTTCTCTTACTTATTCTTTTCACTTATTAGCATAATTACTTTTTTAATGAAGATATATGTATACGTATAACTACCAGAGTTAAGTCAAAATTATTTATTGTAATGACGCATATTGATCATAAATATGTATAGTATCGTAAACATACTAAAGCAATGTAGTCTCTTTCATTATTTTTTGTTTATTTAGTAGTTAAACTGTTAATGAGAGAAATAAATTAAATCAGAAGTAAACATTCTGCAGGTCAGTATCATCTACTAAAAATTAAAAAACAAGCTTGAAAAGCAAAAAAGTAAGTCATATTAAACAATTGTTTAATATAAATGTACAACTGGCTTCATCTATTTTAACAGAATATTGAAAAGAGTTAACAAATAACTCTGGACACTGGCTGAGATTTACATTCATGAATGTAAATCTCGTGAATGTAAAATAGTTCTTCTTTTATATATTTTGTAAAAGTTAAATTTTTCAGCTGAAATTTAACTGCTGATGTCTCTTTTTTGGCACATTCGACATTCCATACCAAGCTGCTCGCAGGCTGCAATAATAAGATGTGAATTTACAACTCAGGCTGACGACAGACTTGGCAGCCTCCTGTACCTAATCAATTAAAATATGTTTGTTGGCTTGTCAGTTTCTAGAGGATAATAAAGATGGAGAGAAATTCTATAAATAAACATTACCTACCATGCCGGTGTATCTGAAGATGAGAGCAAGTGAAACTTCTCAGTTTTTTTTTTTTTTAATCATTAAAGTTTTTCCAATTCACAAATTCATTATTAGTTACTGGGTTTGCTTCTGATTAAGTTCCCAAACTTGAGTCTTCAGTTTCTGATCCTTCCATCCAGGCCTCACATGGCCACATCATCATAATGGGATTAGGTTGTAATCCAGCCACTTCCCCTACAAAGCAGACTGAGAGGCCAACGTCCACACACTCTGAAACACTAAGCCATTATTATGAACCACAGAGAGGCATTATATAGACACACTGCATATCAATGAGCCTGCTCAGGTCAGCTTGTGACCCTTTGTTATTATGTTGAAGCTGGCTGCTGGTCAGTTGCTGTAAATCAGAGAAACAAACATAAAATGTGAATTTGTTTGGTCTTGTACAAATAGTCTAAAACATAAATGGCAAGAAGCTTGATGACATGAAGCTTGGTCCAATTGTAATGTAAATATACTGTATATGTGTAGTTAAGATAATTTAATTGAGTAAGGTTACTAATCAATTTTTATTCTTTTAGCGACTAGATCTAATATTCATTTGATTTTCTGCTAACTTCCAATATAAATTTTGTGATTCTAACATGAAATATATTTTATAATCTATTCTTTCCTTTCTTTTCTGTGATGTATGCAATTATTGTTCCCTGATAAATAGAACCAGAATTTTTCATACATAAACTTTAGCAGCTTATGAACTGCTTTAGTAAACACCTGGTGGACACTGGCTTAGGATGCAAATATGTAATATTTGTACCGTAGATTTTGTGCACCCAAAAGATACATATTCCAAAGTATCTGGAGTGCTATCTAAAGCCATACTGAAAGCATCTGGCCCAAAATAGGTTCAGTATCTCTGGCTATTCACGTTCAGCTCTGGTATCCTAAATAAATGTTCAATATATTTTTAGTCTTTAACTGGTCTTTAGTTCCCTCTAGTGGCCGTCATAAAAGTTACAGCCTAAAATTTCTTGAGAGGAAAACCGTAATTTTCACTTTGCACAATTTTTAAATTACTTTGTTTTGAAGGAAAGTTGCTGATTAGTGGCTTTTTTAGAAGACAGTGCAGTGATTAAAAGATATAGTCTCTAGGCTAGTTATTTTAAAAGATTTTTCTTTCAAAATGGTTTATTGATACTTAAACATTTAAAACATGGCATTGCGAGATCATACAGAAATTCTTTTCTTTTACATTTTCACTTTTTTCCTAATAAACACAGACAAATAAAAACAATTTGTCAGCTAAATTAAACTAAAAGAAGATAAGACAAGGACATTTAAAAAGTTTCTATATGTTAAAAAAAATATTTTAGACAATATTTCATTTGGAAACAAACTGAGGGAATATTACTTTAAAATTTGTAATTGTTTTTCTCACTCCACTAGTTAGCCTCTTATGTGTTTTTTCATAACTGTTTCTGCAGGTTTCTTTGTAATTTCATGCTTCTTTTTCAAAGAAAAAACCAGAAACGAAATGTAATTATCATAAATGTTTTGTTTTTTCTTTCTAATATTATGTTGCGAAAGAGTCAAAGTGATTTGACTTGGTTTACTGAACATTTACACCAATTTCTAATTTGGAATAAGTAAGTTCAACTTTATTTATATCCCATCCGTCATGGAAAATAGAAATGACAAAGTGCTTAATTGTGCTACTAATGCTTGAGAGCATCAACCCAGACCAAACAGTCACATTGCTTGGGCTAAAATTGTTGAAAACAGACCTGACTTGCTCAATAGTTTTTGTGTGCTTCAACAGAAATGCCTATCACAATATGGGTGCCGCGTTAGCATACTGTCCTAATGCGCATGCGCCTTATTGGTATGTGTTTTTTTGTGTGTGTGTGTGTTTTTCTGGGGCTCTATCCAGCAGTAAATCAGTGCAGCAGCGGAGGTCTTCGCGGTAAGGACTGTCAAACTGGCCATGCCTTTGAGAAACAAAAATGCCCAATCAGGGAGCTCTTAAAAGGATAATGGGTCCACCGTCCAATCACAGTATTAAGAGAAAAGTGTCCCCGCCCCTACCACTATAAATTATGTTGAAAATCCAAAAATTCCATGCGCTAGCTGTGTCAAATGAGTTGAAATGTGTGAAAATATACAAAAATAATTGATTGAGGTTATAAACACATAAAACATGATTGAGCGACTTTTTGTGTTATTTTAGTTGATTTACATAAAAGATTCAGTATTTTTGAAACATAGAAAATGAGAAGACTAAGCGGATTATCATGCCTATGTTTGAAAAACGTCCCTTTCTCGGATTTGTTCAATCCGATTAAAAAAGTAGTACCAATGAGAGATAAAGGGAATGCGAATATAAATTTATTTCGGTTTATAACTCCATACTTTTAAGTTGAAAACAACAGGAAAATGAGCCAGACTGTGTGTAGTCTAGTCTCATTTTTTCTCCTCTCAGGAGGCTCTTCTTCCCAGCCCCTTTGTTCGATCCAGTCGGTGGGTTGAGTCAGAGACGGGAGGCTGAGCTGGACCCAATAAACCACCAGCACCGGCGAAACCAGAGCGGAGGAGATACCGAATCGGTTAAACAGGAAAAAAAAATAAACGGAAAAAAAAAAAGAAAAAAAAAACTTGGACTGAAAGTATTTCGGAAACGGTTCGGCTTCTTTAAGAGTCGTTTTTCTTCGACATCCTTTCCTAGCCGTCTTAGCTATCACCCTGGAGCATGAACCGGCAGGCTGACGGTTGCTAACCCCACACCGGTCTGTCTCCATCATCCACGCCGATCCACGCTGATTCTCCCCTTTCAGTTTTTTTCTTGGCTCAGCATCCATATTTGCATCCCAGGGAGTGGCAGGCACTAATCCGCCCTGTCTCTCCCCCTCCTCCGCCGGTGAGGACCTAGAAGTTAGCCGCTTCTCGGACACCCCTCGGACTCTTCATTTCCACACAGGAAGGTGAGGATTTTCCTGCATGTTTTGAGTCATTTCAGACATTTTCGAAAATTCTGTCTGTTTTTTTGTTTTCGGGTGGAAGTGAAGGGCAAAGTGAACCACGCTGCCTGCCGCAGTAGCTACAACAATAGATCAAACTGCTGGCGTTGTGTTTGGTCAACCTGTCCATCCTGTCCCTATAGAAATAATATATTAAGGCCTTATTGCTTATTCCATATATAAAACATAGCTTTAAACCACCAGCATCGCAATTTTGGCCAGTTTGATTTGATTGACCTGATTTAAAGCGTAAAATACAATTTTTTCTGAATAAAAATGAGTGTAAATAAGATGTAAAATCCAACGCTATGCATGAAAATCGCTTAATTTAATTCCAAACACAAATGTTAAAGCTCCAAACAAAATTAGCATTTCTTATTTGAGGCTATAGCAGCTTTATGTCTTCCTAATATGCTCTGGGCCATGATTTGTAGGACATGCTCCACTTGGGCACCGGCCTACATTGGACATATATCAGCCTGCTGAGAATATTACTTCACAATAAAAATATACGAAGAAAATAACTGTTATTCTTATTATTGCTTTTGAAAAATAGATTTAGTGAAAGGGCATTACCTCCCTTGTTGATCAAAGTGAACTAATGGTGTGGTTGTCCCAGATTAAATGTGTGTAATAGCTAATTTAGAATATATTTTAGATTTTTAAGCAGAAAACATAAGCAGCAAACTTGCATAGATTGACTTTTTCTATAATTCAGTCACATTTGAGGGCGTTTCAAGCACGAACGGCTTGCTTAAAGTTCCGCGACAAGTCCTGACTTGGACTAGGCCGCTTCAGAACTTTCATTTTGTTTTGTTTAAGCCATTAAGTTGTAAACTTGCATGTGTGCTTGAGGTCATGCTGATTGTTGTCCAGGATTTTATTGCTGAGATCCAAATTCACAGTTTCCTCAATTACAACAAGTTGTCTTGAACACCAGTGTTTTTACCTTGAAGCTCTCTTTCTCATGGTTTGAGTCATGATCTCTGACCCTGACTGAGGTAAGTGAAGTCTACGCGCTTCAGATGTTACTCTGGCTTCTTCTGCAATGAGTCTTTGATGCGTTCTTGTATTAATTCTGGTATGTCGTCCATTATTGGGAACGTTCAGAACTATGTTGTGTTTTATCCATGATTTATCAAAGCGGGTTACTACTACAGGTTGGTGCATGGTTTTAATAGTGTGCTTTTTATGCTCAAACTCAGTCAGATTGTATGGAAAGCAGCGCGATTTTTTTCGGTCTTAATACAGATTTTCTTGGGTTTTGGTCAAGACTTTAACATTCTAGCACTCCAACTCTGTTCCTCCAGGGCTCCATCCTGAAACCTTTAGATGCATCTCTGCTCCATTCTGCCACCACCGTGTTTCCCAGTGAGCTCAGTTTGAAGTTCAAAGTTTTCTGTCGCACAAATTGAAAACAACAGAATTTTAGACCTTGTACAGAAGTAGCTGTATTTTTATAAAAACAAATATCTCTGCCACAATGGAAATATTTTCAAATTTTATACGTAAAAAAATAATAATAATATTGTACACACAGGATTGGTTTCTGAAATGTTTTCATCAACATAAACTCACACAAACACGACCATATGGTTATTTTAAACATTTCAATCCCATAGGGGGCAGTGTAACTCAAAGCTAAAACCTGTCAGCCAATCAGATTGCTTCAAAACAACCATGACTTCCTGTTCCGAATTAAACATGGCACCTGGCGGTTCATTTTTGGGGACAGATATACATGTTGAACTACTTTTAATTAGCATAGTAGAATATAAAGTTATTAAAACACAAGAAAATGTGTAATTACAGAAAATATTTTCCAGAAACCTCTGACAGAGGTTTTTATTTATTTATTTATTTTTTTGTTTCGGTGGTTTTTTCTGTGTGGATGCTTTTTCTTCTTTCTTTTCTTTATTCTTATTGTATGCTTTCCTTAAAATATGTATTTATATATTTAAGTTTATCCTTTGATTATCTCACAATGGGTTCTTTAGCTTGCCTTTTCTTCTGATGTTTTATTCTTTAAGGTAAAACCTGTTTGTTTAGGAACATTTTTGTTCAATAAAGATTCAAGAAGTCACAGAACAGCTGGATTTAAACACGCATTTGGTTGCACTAGGGTTTAATTTAAGGGTATGAAAATAAAGGGATGACGCCATATTTTTTTAGATTTTTATTAATGAAAAAGGATCCACTTC